GTACTTCCAGAGGTGGAAGTCCTGTGAAAAGGGTAGTTGACTTCTGTGCTTGTCCAGCCTTGGTTTTAGAGAGGGCTACCAGAAAGGAGGTGGTTTGTCGTTTTGGTTTCTTTGATGTGTGTATCTGATATGTAGGGAATGGAGAGAGATCGTTCTCTTTATTACAGCAGTTGTGCTTATACTTGTCTCTGGACCCACGTGGTCTAGTAACCTAGAGGTGGAAGAGTCTGTATTCCATTTTCAGTCCTCTGAGCCATTCAGTCATATACAATTTATCTTAACTGTCAAAAAAACTGCAATAGGTTGAATTGTGCGTTAGCCAGGGAATAGTGTTTACATAAGTAATGAGACCATTTGGGGATTGCTGTTCAAAATATATTTTCTTCAATCATAACACCATAAAAACCTCTTGATAATCCTTAGATAGTAAGAGTAACATGAAACTAACTACAGCTTAGAGTGTTTCATGGAAGAACAGCAACCCTTGAAAATACAATATTTACTTTAAAGATAAATGTAACTATTAGGAAGTAATTCCAGATGTGTGGTTATGGCAGAATTTTAGTGATTACAGTCTTAGCCAGTTTAGTGAATTACACTATTGCATTTAAAAGTAGCCAATGAATTTTTTTTAAATGAATTCATTCTTCAGATGGTCTGAATAAAACTGTTTATTTTCTATTATCTGAGAAACAAACAGAGCAGAATCTGGTTTATTTATGAAAGTAAATACAAAAGGTCTGACCCCTGGATACTGCCTTTGAAAATTGTCTGAGAAAATGCTCTTCCTGGTAGCCGATTCTTTCTTCAAGCCATTTCTTCTTTTTGAAGATAATGCCAATGCCCCCACCCTCAAATTATGCAATATATCTTAAAGAATGATTTGAAATTAAATAGTTGGGTCTCTTTAGTCTCAGGAGGTCTTCTAGTATTGTATCAACTGCAGAAGGTGTTGTGTTATATTTTATCAATTAAGACAGAAGTTTTCAAATTTACAAAACCTTTGCCCATCATGGCAGGTCTGTGCTGAGTATTTTGTGTGCTCTTTATTAGTTCACTCGTGTGCTTGCTTATCCCTGTAATTGCCTGCTAATATCTCCCAGGCCCAGGTGTACACAGCACGGGCATGCAAGTTTAGGAAGATGTGGACTAGCTGAGAAATCCCAGTGCCTGTTTTCTCTGTTTTTAAGCCCTTTATAAAGGCCACTTAGAGTCCATGTCTGAATTGTGAATGGTAATGAAGCTGGAACCTGCTGTTTCTAAAATGTCTTCTTATCAGTAGGCTCACATCTACCGTATTCTGAGAATGGGTTGGCTTGGAGTCCTCTGTATTAAGACTGCTCAAGATGTTGACAGCTAAAATTAATGTTACATTTGGCTCTCCACAGAAAACATTGTTCGTTTATTAGATTGGTATTTCAGCTTAAAGCCAGGCCAGGATGTTTAAATTACAAATGTTCTGCTGGAGCAAAGGCTTTTTTCTGTCCCTGTGCTTTCTGCTTGTGCTACATATTATATAGTGATTTCTTGCAAGCGTGTTAGCGGGCGCTTTGTGCATGAGTGCAGAGTGCTGCCGTAAGCTAATGGTACACAATACGGCTGTCTGCTACTTTGTGCTGACTACACAGACAGCAAAACAAATCTGTACGCAAAAGTACTTGTTGAAATCATCCAGCAGGAGAGGTCTGACCGAATAAAATTACGGTATTGAGCAGCAGTTAGTGCACGTAACATGTAAGCCTTAAAATAAATGCGTAGGTGTATGTGTGCTACATGTATGTGTATGTTATATACACACGCAGTTTTTTCAGCATATGTCTTTCAAGTGCATGGCTAATTTTATGGATGACAGATTACACTTGAGGTCATTAATAGTGAACTCGGCTACATTAAGAGCTCCAGAAAAATTCTCAAGTATTTTTCCATGTTACTCTCTGGGCAGTTGCAGACAGTGCTGATGTTTCCGTTTGTCAAACAGGGACATCCGTAACTGAGAAATAAGATTTGCTGTTGTAGCTCAGCCCATTTGCAGGACCTCTGTTTCTGCAGCAAGAAGCCTAGAGGTTTCTGATGGAGCTTGTGTTTATCTTCCCTCCCTGTTCCCAGAGGCACAGGGGGGTTGTGCTGGACCAGAGCTGCAGCAGGAGTCTTAGCAAAAAATGTTTTTTAGCACAGGCTTAAAGCGGTGGTTGCACATTACATAGCTGGGTCTCTCTTTGGAAGAAGACAGGGCAGCTTATTTCAGTTAGGATTCAATTGTGTTATCCACACCTCGCCACAGAAGTGCTTGCCTGCAAAGTACTTATTTTTATTTTTGCAGTGTGTGTCTGCACCCCCTTTCTGCTGTCACTGAGCCGCATCCCAGGAAAGGGAGCTTGATGTCAGACAGTGAAAGAGGCGCTGCTTTTATTTTCAGCATCTCTACAGCATCAGAACAAGGATGCAGGTTTTCTAGCCGTATAGGTGTAGGATAACAGCCCCATTTCATCCTCAGTTTAGCTTTATCTGGGATAGATTTTGCTTATGTGATGCTCAGGAAGGGTAAGAGAAGTGATAAAAGCACAAGTGATAGTTGAATTTATTCTGGATCTAGTTAATTGTATCTCTAAACACAGATGATACAGAAGTAAACCTGATGGCCTGTAGCATCTATACTGAACTAGCATGTTGCTGCATCCCATTTTTAGGGTCACTGCTTTTATTTTTATAGTTTGAGCTGCTGCCTTTCTAGTGGCATATCTCCTCCTCTCCATTGGGCACTGAGGAGTACAGAAAGCTGAAAAGATGGAAGCCAATGCTGTAGAACAGTCTGATTCCGCTCGTTGTTTATACCATGGTTACTCCATGGATTTAAATGGAATTAACCCTGATTTCTGCTGTGTACAGGATTTAATGTGAGGCTTCTGTCCAGGCTTGATACTAGACGAGGATCAGGTGGTGAATGCTGGGCAGAAATGTTTTGAGTGGGAGTTAATCCTTTCCCTGGTCTTCGCTCCATCCTTTTGTTTGTTATTAGCAGCAGAATCCATCCGGCTGAGGAAGGACTCATCCCCACAGCTCCCTGGAAATGTCAGCCTAGGCGTGTGCAATGCAGGAATATCATTTTAAAGACCTTTCCCAGAGCAAGTTTTTTTTTTTTTGTTTTTTTTTTTTTTTTTTCTCCCTATCCTTCCAGTCTGTTGGCAGGTTACCATACCTGAAGTGATTTCTTCCTGAATCGCTCACAAATGAGCTTCGGTAACAGGTTCTTACATGAGAGCTTTGAGTGCAGCTCGTTTCCCGTTTCTCTGCAAAACGAAGGGATTATTTTGCAAGTAAAGCTATGAGGAACCTTCTCAACTGTGGTGAGGACTAGGAGAAAATCAACCCAGTCTTTTTATCCTAGGACCGTCTGGAAAATTACATGGTGACAGTAAATCCGTTGGTTTTCCCCTGTCAGCTGCAGGATATCCCCGTTTTCTGGGCTGAACGCGGGCCGGTTCCGGCCATCCGCATGCCTTCCCTGGGGGCTGTGAGGAGAGGGCGGACGGGAGAGCTAGGAGGCGCGGGGCAGTCTCCCCGCCGTCAGCAGGTGGCACCAGACGGCCGGGAGCTGAGGGCAGGCGACCGTGGGCATGTCCCCTCTGGCCCTGCGCGTGCCCTACCGCCCACCCCCCTCAGGTGGGTTGTGGCCGGAGGAAAAACCCCTTCATCGGCTGTCGAGCTGTCTGCGGTGAGCTCCGGGGCTGGAAGGCGGCCAGAGGGGCCTCAGCCCGGGCTCTGAGGGGGAGCGCCAGGCCTGGCTCTGGCTGTGGGACCCCTTATCTGTGTGATGTTTTAAACAGAGCTCACAGGAGCGTGAGCAGAAGGAAACAAACAGGTGGATACACAAAATTAGAGATTTTTTTCTCAGATAGGCTGCTAAGTCTTCCTGGAGGTATGGCTGTTTCTTTTAAAACCTAGTCATGCCCCCTTTCTCAAATATTTAACTGCATTTTTATAACTTGTATTTTTATAAAGGTGAATTGTGTGTTTGCTCTTCAGGGCCAGCTCTTGGGTCTCTGTGAGCACTGACTTTGGAGGGATTGGGTTAAGGAGGATGCAACACAGCCACTGCGTCACCCACAGTGACCGATCCCTGCTCCCAGGCCAAGGGCTGTTCCTGCAGCATTCACAGCCTCTAGTTTAGCAGCCATTTATAACCACCCTCCTCTTCCCCCAGAGAAGGTGTTAGGCTCTTTTATATTTAGTGCTGATAAGTACATGCAAATTCCAATCGGCAAACAATATGAATATGCTAACGATATCCGACTGCCTTAAAGAGGAGAACCTTCGGTAAAGAGTTGCCTTGGTGGCCTGCCATTTTGTTGCTGGAGAGGGTTCAAAGCAATGAACCAGTTAGTTGTTTTTATCTGGATTCGTTCATAAATAAATTCCTAGGTCTGGTCACAAAGTCAGCATTTGCATGTGAAGAAAGAAGTGTTTTTTCAGATCTATGTTAAAAGACTTCTGCTGGTCAAATGCTTTTGTGACTTTTTAGGCATTCGCATTTTTTCCATCAGAATTTGCACCATTTTGTGAGGCTGTTGAGGTCATCTTTGCACTTCAGGTTTTTCTTAGCTGAGTTATCCATGGCTCCATATACTTCAGCTGACACAGATTTATAAAGCCAACAGCCTGCTTTTGAAAATAACAATTGTGAAAGTATCTTACTGCACCCTTTCATACATACATGTTCCACTTTGTGCAGAGTTGAACATGACAACTCTGTGTATGTGTATGCAGCAAAGCTACTGGCTTGAAATCTTGCTTCTGTGAAGTACTTCATTTTTTGAGAAGACTTGGAGCATTCAGTTGCTTTTGGAAGGACTGGTTGGTGTTTAACCTGTTCTTAAGCCTTGTGTCCGGGCTTTGAGTAAAAATCATTGGTTTTTGAAAACAGAAGTCTTGAGCTTGAATTTTACTACTTTCTTCCAATGCAAGTATATTGTCTAAATTATTATTATGTATTTTTGTTTTACAGAGGTTTTTAAGAAGAATCTGATGGTGAGAATAGGTTAAGAAGACTCAGGATGACGACAACAGTAGCGACAGATTATGACAATATTGAGATCCAACAGCAGTACAGCGATGTCAACAACCGCTGGGATGTTGATGACTGGGACAATGAAAATAGTTCTGCTCGACTGTTTGAACGATCCCGCATCAAGGCCCTAGCTGGTAAGCATTGATCACATGAGCAAAACTCTGATGCTGTATGTATGTGGTGGTATGGGATACTGTCTGTCTTCAGTGCCTGCACCTTGCCAGTAGACTAGGGCTGAAATTTTCCTCAGGTCAAGTGCAGTCTGCCTGAACAATTTTTGAGATTTTTCATCCATTGATATCAGTGGGACGTGATAGTCTCATGTTGCTTTGCAGGATATGCTAATATCTGACATTTTGCAAGCACTCAGCTGTTCAGATTTGCTATGAAGACTTCTCTGCTGTAAGCACAGGAGAGCAGAGATTTCATCCAAGTATTTTTTTTTATTTAGAACATTGTACTGACTCTGTTTCTCACCTCATCAGTCTCATCAGATATTAACCATTTTGGCTGCATATTCAAATTGTTTTGATTGGGTTTCTGTGATTGTTAATGATGTTGGTTTCCAGATTTGGAAAAAATCATAAGGATAACAAAACTCTGCTTAAATATATCTTCACTTGGAGGTGTTCAAAACATGTCACTTGTCCTGAAATGGAGGAATGTGGTAGGTGGAGATAGTTGTCATTTAGTAAATAATGCTGAAACAACAGATTTTTCTGAAGAAGCAAAGCTTCTGGAGTACATGCTGTCTTTTGATGAATTACACTCTTATCAGCAGAGAACTGAAATTTCATTAGATCATTTTTTTTTCTTTAAAACATGTTATTATTGCATATTGAAGGCTGTACATTAACCAAATTTGTTTATGCAGCAAAGAGATTATGTCATGTCCTCTCAGCTCTGAGGCATTGCCCTGCAAAGCTATTTTTTATGCATTCTGTAAATGATTTCCTGACTCTAATGGTAGCATGCCCACATTCCTGACCTCTGAACAAAATGCCTCAGTAGTGTGGGACATACTGTAAGCATGGAAAGCAGCTCTAAATATGCTGAGCTTTCTGCTAGGGAAATTTTGGTTACAAGGATGCTTGTAAACCCAACACTTCAAAATGTGTTGAAGCAGGTTTATTAAATTAGCTATACTGAGACAGAAGGTATCATCTGTTTCGTTTGTGATTCTGATGAGACTGACTCGGTAGCGCAGCATGCCCTTTCTCCTCTTGATGCCGGCTGTGGGAGTGCATTAGATGCAGAACACCTTTACGTGCCAGGCACAGAGAAGGATCAGGTTTGGAGCTGAGCAATGGGGAAATAAAGTAGTTCATGCAGGCGGGCAGAGGGCAGATCGTATAACTCCTACTGAAGATAGTAATAGTATCAACTTAATGGAACTGCTTGCAGAAGGAATGTATGTTAAATTTTGCTATCTTTAGAAGGCTTTTAATTACAGCGGTTCTCATCACAGTGTGCATTTGAAATTAAAGGTAAAATGCCTGACCTAGAACAGGGCTGTGTAAGTGGGGTCAGAAGCAGCCTGACTGATGCCTGTGGTCGTAGATTGCTATAAACCAAGTACAAGACAAGAAGAATCTTGACTTGGGGTTTGATTTTTAGTTTGATCTTGTTTGAGGAAGAAACTGTATTTTACTCCTGCCACATCAGTGGTTGTAGGTTATATTGTATTCCTTGGGTGGGCAGTGCTTTCAGTACAAACCTCATCAGCCACATTTGGGTCACAGATCTAGCCTTTACTGCAGTTGGTTGTTCCGGTTACTTTTATGGCAAGCAGAGCTCCCCACCTGAGTAATGAATAATAAACATGAAACTCTTATTTCAAGGCGAAGTAATGTAAGGAAAGTACTTGAATTATTTAGATAACCTAAAACAAATACCAATGTCAAAGCAAATAATTTTGCTGAAGATTCAATTCAGAGGCTTATTTAAACATTTCCCGGAGTATGATGTATTTATTTTTTTCTTCATAAGCATTACTCATAGTTATTGTAATTTGATACATTTCATACCTGTAATTCTCTACTGTTAGTGTTGAGAATGCTTTGTGCTGCCAAAACTCGGTTTAGCACACTGCACTGCTGCAGCACTGCTTGAAAGCCTAATCATGATGCAGGGAGAGAGGAATGAAGAGAGGTTTGTCTTGCAAATCAGAGGTTATAGTTAAAGGCTGAGCCGTGGTACTCCTGGCACCATTCAACAACATATATTTTCATGTTGGTGGGTAATCTTCCTTTGTGTCTCCCCAGAAAGGCACTTCCAGGTTTTTAACAGCTGCAGCCTGGAGCTGGGATAACCATAATCTCTATCATTGTGCTCTTTAAATTGAGACAGGCTCTTTCTGGAAAGGTGTACTCTAACTCAGCTGCTTGTCACAGGATCAGACGTGATAATCGCTGTGTGAAAGCCCATGGCTGGTAGCGCACACAAAGACACATTGGGTGATATCAGGAGGCTCTTCTGGGCTCTAAAACCTATACATTTGACTGTGTGTTGCACTGTCACTTTCTTCTGGATGAATTTCACTGCTCTCTGAAGCACAAGTAGCTGTGCACAGTCTGCAGGGCCCAGGTTTACTGAACAATGCTCCAGTCTGACTTGGATGGGTACTGGCTCTTTGTGGGCATGAGCATGTTCCCACATCTCCAAGACTGGCCATCTCCTGACAACAGCATTTTTCTTTCTGGATGTCCTGGATTAGATGTATCTAAGACTGCCTGTGGGTGTCCAGCTCTTTCAGTATGTCTGCCTTTCGCTGAAGTGACAAGATAAATCAAAAGACTATCAACGTCTTGCAGTTTGAAATGCACATGTATTGTTATCTCCTTGTCGTAGTATGAAAGGTTTCCAAATAAACAGACCAGGCACCGATTTTTTTATTCCCCATCTATAAGATGCAGGCTGTTGTGTTCAAAAGTAGAACAGCCATAGGCATTTTACACTACCTAATGGCTAGATACTCAATGTTGTGAATCTTTCTGTTGGTCCAAGCATCTTCTGTCCACATTCTTCAACAAGTTGTGAAGTGTCTCTTCTGTGAAGCTTTCATCTTGTATTGATTCTAGTTTAATGAAACTTATTTCCTTTAAAGTAAAGAAAGGTAGAGAGTGTAGAAGGTGAGGAGCAAGTTCTGTAGCCAGAGTCTGGTAGTCTGTTCTAGAAAGAATTTTAATGGCTCCATGTTCATCAGGATGTTGAAATATTTAAACAGCAAAGGAGGAGATGGTGGTCAGAATAATCTGTGATCAGAACAGACAGTGTCTTGGAGAAAAGCTCAGTTAAAGCAGGTATGAAATAATAATAGTAGAAAAACACCACTGTCAGCACAGCAGCTGATAACCGATATTATTAAAGTGGTCTGTATACTGTGAAAATGAGAATGCAAAAGATTGTTTCAGTTTAAAACAAATCATCTGGGAACTCAGCTTTCAATCAGAAATCAGATTTGAAGGGATATGCAGCCAGATTGGTTGCCATTCATGTTAGACTAACTCCCTCTGCAACTGATAGGAGAAGGTGGTAACTGATCCCTGCTTCGTAAAGTAAGATATCCTGCTGTAGGAAATAATCTTTCACCTGTCCTTGTTCTCTGTGGTTCCTTGGAAGGTCTTGCTGGAAGACCAGGTAATTCTACCTGCTGTGTAGAAGCCAAAAAGAGATCATGTTTGTGCAAAATTCTTCATTCACAAATCCTCAAGTGTTGGATTTCGTCTCTCAAGGCCCATTAGGTAACAAGATTTGCTGTGCAGCACCTTGGTGCATCGAGTTCTTATGAAAGCCTTAAGAAACAGTTCAGTTGTTCAGCAGAATTTTTTGCACTCAGTCCGGGACTGTAACATTCAGATGTACCATGCTCATTGTCTCACGTGCCGTTTTCAGGTAGTATGAGAATTGTCACCTCCAAAACTTTGTTTCTTCAGTTAGCTAATTCAATATTTAAAAATGCTTGTCTGAAGTTACTTGCTTTTCTGCTCACTTGTATTTTGCCCTTTTGTCCTGTGGCTTCACCTGAGTGGCCAGAAGGTCTGTGACTCAGCTGTCTGGCAAATGAATTAAAAATAGTTTCAAAGTTTGTGAAATAACAAGCTTATCTTCTTAGTGCAGGACAGATGAAGCCATGCATTCCTTTTGCAGCTCCACCTGAGTGACTGTGCATAGGTGGGACACTTGTTAGTGTTGCACATCATGGTGTTCACGAACCTTACGGGGGATGCAGATAAGGAAGCTGCATTTGTCACGCAGCGTTTCTTAGTTGTCCTTACTGCACAAAGAGAAACTGGGCTTGTAATTCACACCAGTAATTTAAAATCTCCCAGAGGCAACAGGGTAAAAAATAATTGAAATTGTTACTGAAATAATACTATTGAAAAGTTTTTCTTTTTAATATAGTGTAATACCTGTTTCTTAAGGATAAAAAAGAGAAAACTTGCAATGAGAAAGTGCTGGGTGTGCCATATGTAGGGCTAGTTAGCCCTTTTGGCCCTGTTATTTGAGCCATTCCCCCCACAGTTCCAGTGCAAAAAGTCAGCAGAACAACGCCCCAAAAAAGCAAAAAGAAAGATCTTGCTGGTAGTACTCTTCAGGTATCTTGCACCTGCTTGTCCCTGATGTTTAGCAAATCTCTAAGAGCAAAGTTTCTACTGTGTCGCTCTGAGTATACACTCAAATTTGCAGGGTTAGAATGAAGTTTCAGGTCTCAAGTCAATAAAAATGGACAAAATACAATGATTTAGAACTTAATAAACCTTTGTTTTGGTCTTGGCTTTGAAAGAGCATACTGAGAATAAACTCTTGCATTTCATGAATATCCAGTATCTGAGCTATCTGGGACTTGCAAATCAGGACACTAATTTTAATAACAGCAAGTGGTTAAGGAATGAGAACTCAAGCAGTATGTTGATGCTTGTAAATCAGGTTTGAAGGGCATGTGAAGGATTCACTTGACACTAAACAGAAATAAAAGCCTTACAGCAGTGAAACTGCAGATGGGTCTTCTCAGCACTAGCGTGGCAGTGCTTGTTATTAGTTCATGGTTTTGTTTAGCAGACAAAGGCCTAATACAGACTTACTCAGGTGAGCACTGAAGGGCTTATTTTGAAAAATCTTTATTTTGCTCAAA